AATCCCAGCTACTTGGGAGACTGAGGCAGGAGAATCACTTGAACTAGGGAGGTGGAGGTTGCAGTGAGCTGAGATCCATCACTGCACTCTAGCCTGGATGACAGAGCAAGACTCTGTCTCAAAAAAAAAAAGTGTCTAGCAGCTCTATTTATTATGAGTGTAATTAGTTATATAATTACGTATATCTCATTAAATATGTATTATATAGTATAGCTATACATTAGTAACTTAACAGTATATAATATATATATAGTTCCATATAGTTCTATTCGTTATCAATTATATATTAGTTATTTGTCAGTTATACATGTTACCTCTATAATGAGTTATTTTAGATGGCTAAATTATTTTAGTGAGCATAGACAGACTACTTTGACTCTGCATCTTGTTTTTCATTTGTAAAATAACGATAATAATCCTTGGGCTGGGCGTGGTGGCTCATGCCCATAGTCCCAGCATTTTGGGAGGCCGAGATGGGTGGATCACCTGAGGTTGGGAGTTTGAGACCAGCCTGGCTAACGTGGTGAAACTCCTCTCTACTAAAAATACAAAAATTAGCCGGGCGTGGTGGTGCATGCCTGTAAACCCAGCTACTCGGGAGGCTGAGGCAGGAGAATCACTTGAATCCAGGTGGCAGAAGTTGCAGTGAGCTGAGATCATGCCACTGCACTGCAGCCTGGGAGACAGAGTGAAACTCTGCCTTAAAATAATAATAATAATAATAATAATAATAATCCCTTCCTTATAGAGTTGTTATAAGAATTAAATAAGCAATCAGACAGATTTCTGGTACAAAATAAACATTTTAACAAATGTTCATTTCCTTCTATTAAATGATAACTGTAGAAGACTGCTGAAAGAGCTGCTTGTCAGAGTTGTCTGATTAAATGTTAGCTAAGGGCATTCACCTTGCTATTCATGTGCTTCAAACTACTCTAATCTAGAGGATTGTGTAATCTATTTAAAATCTTATTTTCATTTAAGAAAACCGTCAACTTCTCTCTCTGTTACTTTACCTTAAAAGACATTTTTAAAATGTGTGCTACCAAATAACTCATGAGTCATCCATCATTTCTTACAGTGACCCATTTGGAGAGAGCGACTTTTAAAACGTGTGAATGCTCCGGGATTGCGACACCGCGGAATTCAGGATGGTCAGGACTGCAGCCCCCCGTTGTGAGGTTTCCCGAGCAGATCTGGGCCTGTGGGCCAGATGGACACAGCTGGCCTTTGCTTTCTATGTACCACCAGAAAACGCTTGATAATTTTCACTGGCTTTCTTTGAATCCAATTTAGATTATACAGAGCTGTTAAGTGTGGAATTTCTTTCTTTCTTTTTTTTTTTTTTTTTGAGACAGAGTCTTGCTCTGTCACCCAGGGGGGAGTGCAGCGGCGTGATCTCAGCTCACTGCAAGCTCCGCCTCCCAGGTTCCCACCATTCTCCTGCCTCAACACAGGCAGCCACTGTGCCTGGCCAAGTGTGGAATATTTTTAAGACAAATGATATGATTTTTTTAACCTGTGTCTTTGATGTGTACTTTTTGACCATTAAATATGACGTTTTTTGATCTTATATTTAAAAAGATGCACTGGCTTATGTTAGACACAAGCAGAAAATTTAACTTTTCCAAGAGCAACATATAATTTTTAGTCATGGTTTGTTCATATTAAACATATGGTTACTGTATTACTAAAAAATGCCAAAGTAATTTATGACTTTTAGAAACTCCACAATGCTGGTTCTTATTTAAAAAAAAAAAAAATCAGGGTGAAGGTTACTGGAAGGAGTGCTATTTTGCAGTTATTTCTCTTTGGATATTTTTAACATTTCATTACAGGAAGCTCATAAGTAGAAGTAGACAAGGAACATTTTGTCCTTGAGTCTAAAAATATGATTTTCCCCTTTCTTTCAAATTTTGAAGACTTTAACATCTCATAGTTTCTTTTTAAATGAAATCATTTAAACATAAAGTCATTGGAATATTTTTAATGAGCCATTTAAAAGAACTAATGAATTAAAATAAGTTTCTGCTTCTCAGCTTAACTGATTTTTCCCTGACTGTAGAATTATTATTTGGAAAGTGGAAAGACTGGTCGGGCACGGTGGCTCACGCCTGTAATCCCAGCACTTTGGGAGGCTGAGGCAGGTGGATCACAAGGTCAAGAGACCAAGACTATCCTGGCTAACACAGTGAAACCCATCTCTACTAAAAAATACAAAAAATTAGCCGGGCATGGTGGCGGGCGCCTGTAGTCCCAGCTACTCGGGAGGCTGAGGCAGGAGAATGGCGTGAACCTGGGAGGTGGAGCTTGCAGTGAGCCGAGATCGTGCCACTGCACTCCAGCCTGGGAGACAGAACGAGACTATATCTAAAAAAAAGAAAAGAAAAGAAAGTGGAAAGATTAATTTTGGCAGAAGGGAGAGATAGAAGTTGGGAGAAGCTACGTCTGAGGTGATAAAGTTCGGGAAGATGTGACTGGGGAAGAGACAGTCCAGTGGAAGGCCCAAAAGCCCGATTCTCTGAGGCACAGTACCAAATCTCTTCCACTGGCTAGATCTGGAAACCCACTGGGTATCTGTCCTTGGAAGGACACACTACCAACTTCTTAGTCCTCATTTGAGGTGTTGGGAATGTCTTTACCTCTTCTGACACTGTAGTCTTTGTGACATTGGGGACCTCAGCCTTACCTGGGACGTCGCCTGCTTGTCTGATAGCTCTTCTTTGGGCTTTTACTCCAGGACCGTTGGTCCTGGGCTGATTCCCCCTCCTACCTCCCAGCTATTCTCATTCTTCATGTAGGCCCAGGATGGCCCCAGCTCTCAAGGTGGCCACCATCCCCTATGAACCATGAATGCACTGCAGTTTGTTTGTTTCCAGCCCAGTCTCTTTCCGTGACCTTAGGCTCCTATGCTGAGCATCTCCATGTTTCACCATTACTTCACTGGATGAACTACTCTACCCTTGCACGGTAACTCTACATCCATGCATTCACTCTGTGTCAACTGCGGGATACACACTTCACCCAGTCACCTAGACTAGAGTACTTAGTTATCTTTGTCTATTTGGACTCCATTGTAGACTCATTCAATTAGTCACTACTTTCTGTTCTGTTGACCTGATTTCTTGAATTCCACTCAAATCCTTCCAGCTTTCTTTATCAGCCCTAGGCTTTAGTTCAGACTGTTCTCACTACCACTTACTTCATCTTTAAAACTAGCTGCTTAACTGGTTTCTCTCCCTATAGAGTTCTCCTTCTCTCCCCAGTTAATAGTTGCAATACAACCAGAGATCCTTCTACAACAATTATTTATTTATTTTCTGACATGGAGTCTCACTCTGTCACCCAGGCTGGAGTGCAGTGGCGCAATCTCAGCTCACTACAACCTCCACCTTCCAGGTTCAAGCAATTTTCCTGCCTCAGCCTCCTGAGGAGCTGGGATTACAGGCGGCTGCCACCATGCCTGGCATGGTGTATATTTAGTAGAGATGAGGTTTTGCCATGTTGGCCAGGCTGGTCTCAAAGTCCTGGTCTCAGGTGATCTGCCCACCTCGGCCTCCCAAAATCCTGGGATTATGGGTGTGAGCCATCGCACCAGGCCTAACATTCTGATCTTATCTTTTCTTTAATTAAAATGGTTTGATGGGTCGGGGATGGTGGCTCACACCTGTAATTCCAGCACTTTAGGAGGCTGAGGCGGGCAGATCACCTGAGTTCAGGAGTTCGAGACCAGCCTGGCCAACATGGCAAAATCTTGTTTCTACTAAAAATACAAAAATGACCTACTGGGGAGGTTGAGGCAGGAGAATCACTTGAACCCGGGAGGTGGAGGTTGCGGTGAGCTGAGATCACGCCACTGCACTCCAGCCTGTGCAACAGAGTGAAACTCTGTCTCAATAAATAAATAAAATGGTTCGATGGCTCTCTAACTCATCTAGGAAAGGTTCAAACTTCTTAACGTGATGAATAAAGAAAGCCCTTTGCACAGACTTCAACCTTTCCTGTCTGAGTCTGAGCTGGCCTCTGGTGCTGAATGTGAGCGCCCCGGGTTAGTGAGGATGTTGCCTCTCCCTCCATGGGCTCTCTAAGATTTATCCCACGTGTCAGACTTCAGATAGCCGAGTCTCTCACTAAGGACAACCACTGAGTTGAATTCACTGGCGCATCCTCTGCACATATGGAGTTTTGTGCTAAGAAGTTTAACAATATTTCATAAAAATCATGATGGAATTTATTGTCTACCATAAGGAGCCATGCAATAAATTCCTGTGTATGTTCCACTTCAGGAAATATTTAGTCTCTGCAGTTGGAGGCATCTGTTTTCTGTTGTCAAAAATTTAAATCAGTGTAACCTGAGGTCTCCTTTACCGTTAAATGCCAAAAAACTCAGAACCAGATACATTAGTCAAGAATAGTAAACTGCTTGGCTCTGCTGTCTGAGACTAGGAACCCCTTTTGTTTACTTTAAATAGATTCTTTTCTTTAACCCCTAAAAAACGCTTTTCCCTGCTTGTTCTCCAACAACCTATAAGACTTTCAGATGTATGTGGGGTACTCAGAATGCTGTCAATGTTCAACATAATGGGTTTTCTCAGTTTGATGATTAACTTCTAGCTTTTACCCATGCATTTTTACAAAGTTGCAATTTTCACATAAAATGAGAAGGACCAATAAATCTTGGCCATCCTGCCTTTTCTCCAGAGCTTCTCTATTGCTTTCACTTCTCTCACATAACTCAGACCCTCATGTTCTCTGACAAGGATTTTTTTTTTTTTTTTTTTTTTTTTTGAGACAGAGAATCTTGCTCTGTCATCCAGGCTGGAGTACAGTGTAACGATTTGCACTGCAGCCTCACTGCAACCTCCTCCTCCTGGGTTCAAGCAATTCTCCTGCCTCAGAGTCCTAAGTAGCTGGGATTACAGGTGCCCACCACCAAGTGCAGCTAATTTGTTTTTGTATTTTTAGTAGAGACGTAGTTTCACCATATTGGCTAGGCTGGTCTCAAACTCCTGACCTAAGGTGATCTGCCTGCCTCAGCCTCCCAAAGTGCTGGAATTACAGGCGTGAGCTACTGTGCAGGCCCGGTCTTGACCAGAATCATTTCAATCTTCCTTTTTGGACCATTTGCATCCAGATTGTCTTCTGTGAATCCAGCTTCAAAAATGACCACCAGAGCAATGTTCTTAATATTTATGAGGTGGGTCAGATATCGGACGAGGTGAGGTTTTAAAATTTATGTCTATATGCATATGTATATATGTTACTTAGGGAAGAGAACTGTTATGTTAAGTCTGGAATTTGCTTGGTGAAGGAGATGATAGTATTCAAAGATTTAAAAGTATTAAAATTCTGTTAGGTTGGCGCAAAAGTAATTGCATTTTTGCCATTAAAAGTTATACAAAACCACAATTACTTTTGCACCAACCTAATAGAAACCTCCTGCAAGAGAGAAGTTGGAGATTCTGATCCCTTCTCCCTGAGATTCTAAGTATAATAGGACATTAAATAAGACCTTTTCTGTTGCCTTGACATCCAGAAATGCCCAAAGGCTCAAAGCTGTAGGTAAAAGACTCTGTATTGTGAAACCTGTTTGGAGACTCTTAACTCTTAACCCTCCTCCAGGATACATAAGGAATGCAGAAGATATTGGTGGAGACCTTTTTTGGAGAGAATGTTCGTGTACTGTGCATTCTAGCTCCCTCTGTAGGGAAGTGATCAGGTACTTCTCCACAATCTCAAGCTGCCAGTTGAGTAAGCAGTGGTTTTGGAGAGTCACTGGGAGAGCTGCACATGCCACCCAGGCATTCAGAGCCATCAAGATCCCATACCTGATTTCCACCAGAAAACATCTAAAGGTGAGAAGCTGGCTGGTGCTCTGAAGATTGGGTCATGGCAGAAGGATGCCACATTCCCACTGATGGAGGGGTGAAGATGTGAGTTTCTGTGGTCAGCTATGGAGTCAGGTTATGTGTTAGTCCGTTTGCCTTGCTATAAAGGAATACCTGAGGCCGAGTAATTCATAAAGAAAAGAGGTTTATTTTGGCTCATGGTTCTGCAGACTGTACAGGAAGCATGGTGCTGGCATCTGCTTTTGGGGAGGGCCTCAGGAAGCTCAAAGTCGTGGTGGAAAGTGAGGGGAGCCAGTGCGTTATGTGGTGACACAGGGAGGAAGAGGGATGCCAGGCTCTTTTTTTTTTTTTTTTTGAGATGGAGTCTAGCTCTGTCTCCCAGGCTGGAGTGCAGTGGTGTGATCTCGGCTCTTTGCAACCTCTGCCTCCCGGGTTCAAGCAATTCTCCTGCCTCAGCCTCTGGAGTAGCTGGGACTACACGCACGCCACCACACCTGGCTAATTTTTGTATTTTTAGTAGAGACAGGGTTTCACCATATTGGTCAGGCTGGTCTTGAACTCCTGACCTCATGATCCACCCCCTTGACCTCCTAAAGTGCTGGGATTACAGGTGTGAGCCATGGCGCCCGGCCACCAAGTTCATTTAAATTATCAGCTCTCATGTGAACTCACAGAGCAAGAACTCATTTATTACCAAGGGGAGGGCACCAAGCCATTCATGAGGGATCTGCCCCCATGACCGAAACACCTCCCACCAGGCGCCACATTCAACATTGGGGATCACATTTCAACATGAAATTTGAAGGGAAAAACATCCAAACCATATCAGGTTGCATCACTTCACAGTGACCTGGCTGAAGAGAATGGACATTTACCAGCTTTACTCCTTCCAGATGCCAGGGAAGTTGCACTTCTCCCAAACCATTTGAGGTTGGATGTTGCTGCACGAGTTGCTTTGGCCATTAAAACGTAGCAGAAACAATGTGGGTCACTTCCATTTTTAAGGGCCAGTGAATGATTTGCCTCTTTCTCTCTGGCGTATGTGTTGAATGATCACCTCCTGAGTGCCAGGGAAAGGAGATCAGGCAGTCCATGAACAGGTGCACGGAGATATGGCAGGGTCTTAGATTAACCACTCAAATCACCATAGACCGCAGGTATCAAGCCAACATTCAGAGGTGAATATTTTTAGGTGGAGTTTCCTGTCAGTCCAAAATGCCTTTACGATGTCTCTTTGATGGATCTGACTCAGGACGATGGACTGAACACCCACATCCACTACTACCCATCCCGAATTTCTTTAAGGTGGAGGTAAGGATAAGAGGAGAACAGAGAGGGCTGGGTTACTCTCAGCCATGAAACTCCAATACACTTCTGAAAAATGGAAAACGACTGGAAGGGTGCTGCCTGGTGCAGCGTGGTGGAGGAAACAAGCCCAGGATGTGCCCAGGGCAAGCTGGGACCCAGGAGGTGGAGGTGTTGACTTGGCTAGCAGAGCCCTGGAGGAACAGAGGAGTGGGAAGACAGGAGGGCACACAGCTCAAGCAGGGAAGGGATTGAGGAGCTTGTGGGCAGAGGGTTGACCCTGCCCCTTTTTCCACCAAGCATGCATTCCCTAGGCATTGGCAATTCAAAAGATCCTTCTTGAAATAAACTGAACTAATCCTCTGTGCAAAGTCAGAGCAGCTGCTGTTGAGGCTGACACTCTAGAGCAAGCCCTGTTCATTTTAGCTCCTTGACTCCCTTGAATTCAATCACTCTTTGCCCACTCAACCTAAAATGAACCTTGCCAATTGACAAGCACAGCTCACCTACAGAGTGAGTGTCTGGTTCTTAGATACTCACTAAGTGTCTGACTGTCTAGTTCTTAGATACAAACAGTTACTGAGCATCACCAGACCCTTGAGAAAAATCTGCAATATAAATTGTACAGACAAGATGAGCCAAGATAATTCAGAATAGGAAAGAATTACCAACAACTACTGTAAAGTTTAAGTATGGTCCAATCATAACTGCATTCATACAGTAAGGAAAGGATGCTATTGTAAAGTAACAATCAGAGAATAAGAAGGGCTCTTGGAAATTAATTATGTGTCTGATTGTCAAAACAATAAAATTTAATACAAATATTAACAGATAAAGTCAAGGAATATTTGGAATGTAGAAAAAATTCTTAATTAATTAAAAATATGATTAAGAAATACAAAAAACACTAAGGATTAGTCCAGGACTGTATTAGCTGATTGACAGGATTTCTAAAAATAAAAAAGAAAGAGCCATTGCCAATGTGTAATTATTAAATAGATTGCAAAAAAAAATTTCAATTTTGACAGACACATGAACATTCATTGTCAAGTTGTATGAATGAAGTTTCACTTCCAAAAATAACAAAAAGTAACCACTACCACTACCAAAACCACACCATCACCACCGTCACCATCACTACCACCACCACCGTCACCACAACCATCATTACTTGCATCATCACCACAATCACCAATGCCATCACCACTGTTACCACCACCACAACTACCACCACTGCCATTACCACAACCATTATTACTTGTATCATCACAATCACCAATGCCATCACCACTGTTACCACCACCACCATCACCATCATCACCATCAGCACCACACCCCTAATACCACAACCATTATTACCACCACCACTATCACTACTGTCACCACCAACACCAACACCACAATCACCACTGCCATCACGACCACAATCACCATCTCCATCATCCAACCACCATTGCCTCCACCATCACCATCACCACTATCACTACCATTGCCACCACCAGCACTACCACTATCACCACTACCACTCCTATCATCACCACCACCACCAAAACCACCACCATCACAATTACTACCTCCATCACCGTCACCACAATGATCATAACTACCATCATCACCACAATCGCCAATATCATCATCACCATTACTACCACCACTATCACCATCACCAATAGTACCACCCCTACAACCCCAACCACAATAACTATCACCACCACCAATGGAACTATAATTACTACCATCACTGCCATCACCATCTCCACCATCATAACCACCATCACCTTCACCATCACCATCATCACTCCACACTACCATCACCACCATCACTGTTGTCACTACTAACATCATCACCACCACCAATACCACCATTATCACCACTGCCACTACCACCACTACCACCACAATTAGTGTCCCCATCATAACCACCTTTGCCTTCACTATCAGCACAACCACCTCCACTATCACCACCACCATTACTACCATTACCATTATCACTACCACCACCATCACCATAATCACTACTACCAACACCACCACTACTATCACCACTAGAATCATCACCATTATCACCATCATCATCAGTACAGCAGCACCACCACCAACACTACCATTATCACCACTGCCACCATCACCACCATCCTGACCACCACCATCATTATCACTATAACCACCGCCTCCATCACCACTGTCACCAGCATGCTTACCACCAGGAACAATAACTATAACATCTATTTATTGAGTGTTTACTACAATCCAGTCACTGTTTCAGGTACTTCCCACATTTTAACTTATTTAGTCAGCATATTAACACTGTAGGGTGAAATTACAGAACACCAGGAATGAAGAAAAGGTGGTATAATCTCCTAGGAACAAAAAAAGTCACTCATAAATATTAAGACTATTACTGGCACCAGATTTTTCATTATCAGTTGTAAATGTTAGAAGGCAAAGAACAAAGCTTTAAAAGTTCTGAGGGGGCCAGTTGTGGTGGCTCACACCTGTAATCCCAGCACTTTGGGAGGCCGAGGTGGGCAGATCACAAGGTCAGGAGTTCAAGACCAGCCTGACCAATATTGTGAAACCCTGTCTCCACTAAAAAAAAAAATATGAAAAAAAAAAATAGCTGGGTGTGGTGGTGCATGCCTGTAATCCCAGCTACTCAGGAGGCTGAGGCAGGAGAATTGCTTGAACCTGGGAGTTGGAGGTTGTGGTGAGCCGAGATTGTGCCACCGCACTCCAGCCTGGGTGACAGAAGGGAAAACAGTTCTGAGGGAATATCTTAACCTTCTATACATTAGAGAAACTATCAAGTATGGTAGCAGAACAAATTCTTTTAGACATTTAAGAACCCACAGATGTTTTTGCAGGAAGTCTCTGAAGATGAATTCCAAAACGGAAGAGGAGGGGACTGGATCCAAGACATCAGAGACTAGACAGGACCAAGAGCTCTTGAAGGACGGTCTCCAGGAACACAGCATAGAAAGTGGACTCCACAACTGGAAGAACTTGAAGACAGGAAAAAGGCACAGAAGGAAAGATTATAAATAAACAGTTTTACCCTAGGTAAAACAAAACACTGGATGAGAAAGCCGTGAACACATATGAATAGAAACAAGAAGTCAATGGGCCTTAAGGGGGAAAAAAAAGGATTCTTAGCCATTGAAAGAAAAAGAGATTAGAAAATTTTAGAGGGCTGGTATTTGTTTCCTATCTTCCCTCTACCCCTTCCCTCCACACTGTGAAGAAAGGCATTCAGAATCCCAGGATTAAAAAGAAAGAGAGAAAGGAAGGGAGGAAAAAAGGAAAGAAGGAAGGAAAGGAAGGAAGGAAGGAAGGAAGGAAGGAAGGAAGGAAGGAAGGAAGGAAGGAGGGAAGGAAGAAAAGGAAGGAGGGAGGAAAGAAGGGAGAATGGGCAAAATATATGATAGGTGAGGTCCAGAATATGCAAATTTGTTGCATGTTTTCAGTCATTGGTAGAATATGAGAAAAGAGAATCTGTATGTGAGCATTTAAAATATACATTTGAGGCCGGGCGCGGTGGCTCAAGCCTGTAATCCCAGCACTTTGGGAGGCCGAGGCGGGCGGATCACGAGGTCAGGAGATCGAGACCATCCTGGCTGACACGGTGAAACCCCGTCTCTACTAAAAAATACAAAAAACTAGCCAGGCGAGGTGGTGGGCGCCTGTAGTCCCAGCTACTGGGGAGGCTGAGGCAGGAGAATTGCGTGAACCCGGGAGGCGGAGCCTGCAGTGAGCTGAGATCCGGCCACTGCACTCCAGCCTGGGCGGCAGAGCGAGACTCCGTCTCAAAAAAAAAAAAAAAAAAAAAAAAAAAAATTTTCCTTTGAATTTTTATCAAGGTGATACAAACCCGTACTTAACAAAAAAATTAAGCACCACTAATAATCATATGATGATACACAGTGGTCTCTTGCCCCACACCCCCTATTTTACTTTCTCATGCCCCAGAGGAAATCTCTATTCTTCTAAGTTATTTTTGACATTTATTTCCATATTTCCAAAGAACATTTCTTATATTGGTGCTTGTGGATTTATTAATTTTAGACAATATGTTTAACTTCCTTTTATGACAAGTGAGACTTAGCTTTCTTACCTGGTACCTTCCCCAGCAGGGTACATGCACTGCCTCTGCCACACTGTCCCAACAGTGTGTTTGGGTCCTAAAGTTAACTTAAATCATTGGTTTATCTTAATATCATCGCACCTATGTAGACATTGTCCACTCTTGGGCTAAGAGGTGTCTGTTCCATGTTTACATTTTCTTTTTCACTTTAAACATTTTTCCTGAAATTATTGACTGTTTTTTTCATTGCTTTGATTTCCTTTTTATCTGAGCTCATTTCTTCAATATGATCAATCTGATAGCCTATTTTATATTTCTTTTGCAAACCCATCTTGAATGTGCATGTCTACCTGCTCCACCCTGCGTTGTCTGCACCCAGGCCTGCTGCACAGCTGTCATTCAGGATATTCTCAGGCTGGAATATCCTGAGTGACAGCTATGTATGAGGCCTGGATCAGGCTTTATTTCCTGGATCCAATGCTGTGCTGTAGACATGTGCTGTAGAATGTGCCGGTAGACATGCACATTCCTTTTATGACAAGTGAGACTTAGCTTTCTTACCTGCTTGACTTTGCTTTCGGTCTAACATCATTTTCGTAGTCTAAAATAAACATAAAATAAACAGCAAGTAATAAGTCATCAGAAAAAAAAATAAAGTGAGAAATGCCCGTTAAAATGATGTATAACATAACCATATATATTTAAGAATGTATTCCAATATCAAATGGCAAATTCCAACAATGCAGAAAACATAATTACTTTTGCACCAACGTAATATTTTCAGTGAAAACCTAGTGATGTCTGAGCATTGAGTAATTGAAGATTGAAACCAAGAATTTACTGTAATTAACACAGAATTCATGTAAAGGATAGTATTAATTTCTACTAAAACAGATGCAGTATATGGAAGAACACATAGACAGAAACACAACCGAGTGCTAAAAGAAAAGTGTCTCTGCTATTGAAACTAGCTAAGGATTCCACCAACTTACTGTGGGGAGGGATTGGGGTTAACCTCAGAATTGTGCCATGTCTTAATTAGAGCTTTTAAAAGATATAGTCATAGGAAATTAACTGCATAAATCTTAACTGCACAAATCATTCTACAGTGAGAATTCATCATTTTCAAAGAATTTGTCTTTATAAAAGTCAAAATACGACTTTATAAAGTCGTAATCGTTATTTTTCACTGAGTTTTTCTAAGTACTAAATGTTGCATTTATGCATTATGTATATAGGCTCACATTAAATATATCTCATGTATATGTGCAGATTATTAAATATATAAAATCACTCAGAATTTTGAGATTATCCTCACTTTATGCTTTAAGAAACTAAGCCCAACAAAGTCAAGTTGCTTGTCTAAGGACACTGAGTGACTGAGGGCAGAACTGAGATTCAGAGCAGGCCTTTTGCTTTTAGATTCTGTGATCATTCCCCCAGCAGCACACGTACTCCATTCTCCCCACCGAGGTGTGGTCCAGTCAGCTGAGCTGCCTGCCTAGGGGCATCCCAGAAGCTGGGATGAGTGGAAACAGACTAAAAACAGCAATAGAATGCACCCACATAACATCTCCAGCAACAAACTTCTCAGTTTTCGTTTTCAGAGGGGTTTTCTTTTTCTCTTGGAAAAATATAGGAGTGTGGAGATTTTTCACATCTCCAGTCAAAGTGATGAGAGACATGAATTATCGCTTTACCTCAGGTGGTCTTTGACGTGAGGCGTTGGAAGCCGCTATGCTGCTTTGCTGCTTCTCAACACAGACATCTCCCATCCTTGACATGGAGCAGGAGGGAAAGCCCTTTGCGGGGAGGGAAAAAGGAGCTTCCAAACCCGGACTCAGAATAGAGAGCTGGGTGCAGGTGGGGTGCGCTCATCTGGTGGGGTGTGCTCCTCTGACAGGGGTGGAGAGTTTCCTGGCTCTAGCTCCTACCATGAATGTGACGGCCACTGCAGGGAAGAGCTCAGGGAGCTTATTTTAAGATTCAAAATTGTAGGCCTGGAACGGTGGCTCATGCCAGTAATCCCAGCACTTTGGGAGGTTGAGGTGGGTGGATCACCTCAGGTCAGGAGTTCGAGACCAGCCTGACCAACATGGTAAAACCCTGTCTCTACTGAAAATACAGAAGTAGCTGGATGTGGTGGTGCTTGCCGGTAATGTCAGCTACTCAGGAAGCTGAAGCGAGAGAATCACTTGAACCTGGGAGGCAGAGGTTGTAGTGAGCCGAGATCATGCCATTGCACTCCAGCCTGGGCAACAAAAGCGAAACTCCATCTCAACAACAACGAGAAAATAAATACAATAAATAAAATTCAAAATTGTGGGGAAAATGAAGTCAATGTTTAAAAAAAACTTAGGGTACAAAGTTTTATTTTTAGGAATGGCAACGGTACATGATGGAAGCAGAGGCAGAAAAAAATAAAAAGAACTGTAAAAAGTCACAGAAAAGAGGGAGGGATGGGGAGAGGAGAGAGGAGGATACAGGAGGAGAAGACTTGGAAAAACAGAGTTTTTTTTCTTTTTTTTGAGACGGAGTTTCACTCTTGTTGCCCAGGCTGGAGTGCAATGGCGAGATCTTGGTTCACTGTAACCTCCACCTCCTGGGTTCAAGTGATTCTCCTGCCTCAGCCTTTGGAGTAGCTGGGACTACAGAGGCCCACCAAGATGCCCTGCTAATTTTTTGTATTTTTAGTAGAGACGGGGTTTCATCATGTTGATGAGGCTGGTCCTGAACTCCTGACCTCAGGTGATCCACCCACTTCGGCCTCCCAAAGTGCTGGGATTATAGGCATGAGCCACTGTGCCCGGCCCCTGTTGTTTCTTTAAAAATATATATATTTTAGTCCATGGATAGATCCGTGATGGAAACACAAAGGAACACATGGTGAGAAGATGAAAAGAGATTTTTAAAAAGAGAACAAAAGGGAGAACAAAGCAAGGTAAACAGAAGAGATCCCATCGCAATGAAGCAGTTGCCCCGTGCAATGCGTGTCCCACTCACACCGGCGTTGCTTGCCTGGATTCTGAGCAGCTCTCTGGCTCTCAGCACTGTTTAAAATATGACAACATCTGACCTCAAGATTTTCCTATAGAATACACTGGCTGACAGAAAGATGTACTGCAGCGGGTCTTAATATTCTTTCTTTGGCACAGGGCTGTGAGACCAGGGAAGTGATACAGATGGAGTCAGACAGAAATATCCATAACCACCATAGCAGAAAATACTCAGATGCAAAAGATGGATGATTTTTAGTAGAAGGGAAACAAGTAAGAAAAGTAGAGAGAAAGCACCTTCACCAAATAACATTTCATGTATTTGGTTATGTGTTTTTTTGAAATAGAATTTTCTTTAATTATTTCTACTTCAGAGACATTATGTGGCCCTATGGTCTATGAATGTCATCCTGTGGTCTAAGAATATCACGATTTGTTTTGTTTTGTTTTGTTTTGTTTTGTTTGAGATGGAGTCTCGCTCTGTCGCCAGGCTGGAGTGTAGCGGCAAAATCTCGGCGCACAGCAACCTCTGCCTCCCGAGTTGAAGTGATTCTCCTGCCTCAGCCTCCCGAGTATCTGGGACTACAGGTGTGCACCACCACGTCCAGCTAATTTTTGTATTTTTAGTACAGATGGCGTTTCACCATGTTGGCCAGGATGGTCTCCATCTCTTGACTTTGTGATCTGCCCTCCTCGGCCTCCCAAAGTGCTGGGATTATAGGCGTGAGCCACCGCGCTCGGCCCACAATTTTTAATTAATTAATTCATATGAAACAGGGTTGGGGGTGTCTCCCTCTGTTGCCTAGGCTAGAGTGCAGTGGCATGAACACGGCTCCCTGCAGCCTTGACCTCCTGGGCTCAAGTGATCCTCTCATCTCTGTCTCCTGAGTAGCTGGGACTACAGGCACACATACCTGGCTAATTTTTGAAATTTTCTGTAGAGTCAGGGGTTTCCCTAAGTTTTCCAGGCTGGTCTTGAACTCCTGGACTCAAACGATCCTCCCTACT